CCCATGGCGCTCCCTACTCAGGTTAGGGAGCAGGGACTCTGCTCTGCCTCCTCTCTGACCCCAGGGAAGATCAAGTCTCCTTCTTCCAGCCCCACCCCTGCCCTCCGACTCTCCGAGGGTCACGGACAGAGGAGAGGTAGCTCAGAGAGCAGACGGCAGACAGGATGCTGAGCTACTAAAATGAAGGGTTGACGTCCGGAGAGTTGTGTGTCTGGGGCTGTGCTTGGGGCTGGTGGCCTGAGAATCAGGAACTGTGATTTTCAGTTTTAGCTGTGGGGCACTGGCATGTTCTTTCCTCTCTCTGGGCCTCAATTTTCTCCTCTGAAAAATGGGGTTAATGACCTTGCCCCCCCCCCCCCTGGGGGGGGGGTGAAAAATTTTCCCCCCCCCCCCCCCCCCCCCACAAAAAGGCTCTGATTTGTAGTGTTTGCTAATGTCCGTGACTAAATGCTTACACCATGGCCAATGCCGGCTGGTCTGACGGAACGGGGAGCTGGAAAGAGGTGGGCACAGTCAGCTCCTGCAAGCCCACGGTAGCCGTCTCCGGCACACCGCTGCCGGTTACCCTCTGGGGCAAAGGGAGAACGAAGGAGACGACAGATACATGTGCTTTGTAAATTGCAGGGTGCTCTACAGATGGAAAGTCGGGGGGACGATCGTCCTTACCGTCGAGGGGACCCCAGGGCACAGTCCACCACTGAGAGCCCTGGCCTAGCTCCAGCCCAGAAAGGGGGCGGGCTGTGGGTCGAGGAAGCCCACACTAAGTGGCAGGGTCGTGGCAACCATTTCTGGTAGCTGCTGGGATCTGAGAAAGGAGGACGGCTAGCTGGACCTCCCACATGGGTTTGCTGCTATTTGCACACACACACACACCTCCCCCCCATCAAGTTCCTTGGGACAAAAGCAAGTAGGGTAGAGATTAGACTCTAAAACTCCCTCCGAATGCGGATGCCAGCCTCAGGACACTGGAGCCCTTGGGGATCCGAAGCAATAGAGTAGCCCTCCCCACCCCACTCCCCCTTCCCTGGGAGTTTCTACGGACACTGGCTCTACCACAGGGGGATCGCTGGAATGATCTCCGAGGCCAAAGAGTCAAGGGGAGGGAAGTTTAGCGTCCGCCAGTGCAGGAGGATGTCATGGAGACGTAGGGGGGCCGTTCTCCATCCCCCACCTCCAGAGCTCATGCTTTAAATTAACTCTGTCCCACTGCTAATTATTACTAATAGCTACTATTTATTGAGCATGTACTATGCATTAAGCTATTTACAAGCAATATTTCATCTAATCCTCCAGAGAGGTATGTATTATTAGCCCTCTATTACAGATGAGGAAACTGAGGCCCAGGGAAGGAAGTGGAGCACCTTGCCCAACCAAAGTCCCACAGTTCCTGGGATTCAAAACCAGGTTTTGACTCTAGAGCTTCTGAACCAGATCATCCAACCTCAGGGGCTCTGCTGGCTACTCCAGGGAGGGGTCAGGGACCAACGCAGCCTCCTCCCTCGCCCCACAGTGAGCTCCTTGCTGCACTGGACAGGAGCCGCCCCCCATGTACACCAATCAGAGTCCCACTGCCCGGTCTCTTTTGAATGCAGATGGCAGAGGACCCCTCTTTTCGGGGGCTGTGTGGTCTTAGGCAAGTCACCGAACTTCTTTTCTGGGCCTTCTTTCTTCATTCATAAAACAGAGTCTGGGCTGAGGTGACCAAGGGGGGTACCACTGAGTCAGGAGTGGGCATCTAGAAAACCAACCAGAGGAAGCCCTACACGGAGGGCCATTCCGGCATTTCTGCATCCTCAGTGCAAATGGAGGGGTGGGCCTCTGAGCTCTGGGTACACTCCCTGGTTTTAACCCTGTCCCTGGGGACCTGGCCAAGTCGCGTAAAAGTCATATGGCCGTGTGTGAACCAAAGCCTTCAGTTAAGGCCGCTGAGATGCAGGAAGTCAGCCAGGGCTCCAGATAATGTCCTGGGACATAGAGGCTGATGCAAGGCTGGGGGTGGGGCAGAGGCTTCAGGGGGCCTTCCGGGAAGGTCAGGCCCTCAGCAGGAGGTGCAGCCCAAGCTGGGGCTCAGAGAGGCCTCCTCGGGTTCATGTCTCTGAGGAGCAGAGCCAGGGTCTGAGCCCCCCTGAGGCCAGGCTGAGTGAAGGCTGGGCAGAGAGGGCAGGGCTAGCGAGGGGAGCTGCCACCCCGGGGGTCATTGGCCCACCTCCCCAGGCCTGCCAAGCCCGAAGCCGCAAGACCATCAGGGAAACTAGAGGCTAGGGTGACAGGCCACAGCCACATTTGGCCAATAAGACCAATGTATGACATGTGTCCTTGAGCATTTTCTATGGGCCGGGCATCCTACACACGTCGTCTCCCTTAATCTTCATGACAACTGTGTGAGATAGGCCCACAAGCCCCATTTATCAGAGGAGCAAGATACAAAGAAATACACAGTTTTTTTTTCAAAATCGCAGAGCCCTGAAGTGACACAGCTGGGATTCAAACTCAGGTCGGACCAAATCAAAAACCTTTGCTCTTAACCACATACTACTCTGCCTCCAGAGAGGGGAGCGACCACCGCCCCATGGGTTCCGAAGCCTGAGACCTGGGGGGCGAAAGGGCCCCCGGCCTTGCCTCCGGAGGTGCTGGAGGAGGCTTGGGAAAGCAACTCTGGGCCAGAGCCGGGCGTGGCAGGCAGGCCCCGGCTGTCCCAGAGCTGTCCCAGAGCTGTCCGGGGAACCGGGGCCGGGCCGGCGGTCATGCGGAGCCAGAGATGGGCCGCCCTGCACCTCGGGCCCCATGCCCGCTCCCCTGTGGTGTCCAGTTACGGCCAGCTCGGCGCTTCCCTGGTCACGCCACATTTAGCTTTGTGAGTGAGCGGGTGCCGGGACATGGAGAAGGGGCGGTAGGGACTCTTGCAGGGGCGGGAGAGCCTCCACCTGGACCCCAGCTACTAGCCCCCTCTGCCACTGATCCCCTGAGGCACTTGGGGCAAATGCCCTCCCTTCCTTGTCCCCGGAACCCCCAGGCAAAGGGAGGAAGTAGTTTATTCATCGACGGCAAGCCGACCCCAGGCTGGGCACCATGGGTCCCAGGGAAGCTCCCAGGAGAGCTCGGCCTGGGAAATGCACAGTTATCCTGATCTGCTTGGCAGAGGTCTCGGGTAGGAGGCAGAAGTGTGAATCTCATGTTTTTCTTGTTGCTTGGCCCCTCAGCTTAGCCGGCACCCACTCTGGCCCCCACCAAATGAAGAAACTGTAAAAGGAGTCCAGCAAACAGACCTGGGTTCGAATCCTGACTCTATTAAGGATTAGCTATGTGATTTGGGCAAGTCACGTAACCCTTCTGAGCATCAATTTCCTCAACTGTCAAGTGGCTTAATAGTGTACCTTCCTTTTACCGGTTTGTTCTGACAAACCAATGAGAAAATTTTCCAAATTGTTCACACAGCGGCCCTCCCAGAGCAGGCCCTCAGCAAATGGTGGTCTTCCTCAGAGACTACTTGGCAAAGAGGAATACATTCCCGAGGAACTGTCCTTTGCAGGTGGTGGAGAAGGAAGGCAGAAAGCTGAGGATGAGGGCGCCTGGGTGGCTCAGATGGTTAAGCGTCTGCCTTCCGCTCAGGTCATGATCCCAGGGTCCTGGGATCGAGTCCCGCATCAGGCTCCCTGCTCAGCGGGAAGCCTGCCTCTCCCTCTGCTTCTCTCTCTCTCTCTCTCTCTCTCTCTATCCCTCTGTCTCTCATGAATGAATAAATAAAATCTTTAAAAAAAAAAAGAAAGCTGAGGATTAGAATAGTAAGGGCGTTCTAATAATGATATTAATTATGAGAGCTGACATCTAGTGAGCACTTAGGATGTGCTAGGCGCTGTGCAAAATGCTTCCTGTGTGTGATTTCATTTACTGCAGCATGCCTAGGTGGGAGGCCCTACCTCTCCCCCTGCTCTGTAGATGATGGTGTCGAAACTCAGAGAGGCTCCCTGACACAGCAGGCAAGGAAGGGCTTGGACCTAAGTCCTCTCAACCTCTGGGCTGTGCCGGGGACAAAGTTCTGTACTTCTAGAAGATCGGAGCAGGAAGAGCCCTAAGCTGTCACCTACTACAAGCCCCTAGTTTTCCAAAGAGTGAAACAAAAGCTCAGAAAAGGCAGTGGTCTGGGGGCGCCGGACTGGTTCCATCCATAGAACATGTGACTCTTGATCTCGGGGTTGTGAGTTCCAGCCCCACGTTGGGTGTAGAGATTACTTGAAAATAAAATATTAAAAAAAAAAAAGGAAAAGAAAAGGCCATTGGCCTGTACAAGGTCACAGGTACGAGATGCAGTTTGGAGGCGTTAGGAGGAAGTGCCCGTGCCCGACATTGCACAGTGGGCCGGCTCACAGGGCCAGCAGGCAACCAGGTCCCCTCAGTCCCCAGGGGCACACCGGGCACACCAGTCCCCGAAGTGGCACCTGTGACAGGCCCCGCCTCTCCCACCCAAGGCTGGGGCTGGATCCACTCTCTCCAGCTCCCCCTTCTCTCCAGACCAACATCCTGCTCAGCCACTGAGCAGAGGTGGCTCGCCATGGTCACCTAGCCCAGTCCCTCACTGGGGAGATAGGGGCCCGAGGCAGGGTCTCGAGGGAACCATCCGCAGCCGAGCTCCAGAGCAGTTTGTGAGTTGTGAGGGACCCCCAGGAGTCCCTCCTGGGGCTGGAGTTGGGGTCGGGGGGGGTCTCCTACCTGGTGTGCTTTGTGCTTTGTTCTCTCTCCAGTCTTCCATCCATGCTTTCCTCCTCTGGCTCTCATTGTTTATCTGCTTCCTTCCGTCTTAGATGTTTCTCTCACTGTGTCTGTTTATCTGCCTGTCTATCTGTCTGTCTGTCTCTCTCTGTCTCACCAGATGTCTGGCTGGAGTGAGGGTTCCAGCCCAGGGATGGGGTGGGAGTGGCGGCAGTGAGCTTGGGGTTGGTCGCCCCAGGACCCCAGTCCTCACTCTCATCACAGCCGGCTTTCTTCGAGGCCAGGACTGGGTGATGGTGTCCTTACTCCCGCCGCAGTCTGACGCCACGCTGCCCGGCCCCGCCAGACTGGAGGGCGAGCCCCAGGGGGACCTCATGCAGGCACCGGGCCTCCCAGGCTCCCCTGCCCCGCAGAACGTAAGTACCTGGTGCCTCGCAGCAGGTGGACCAGTCACCCCCACCCCCACCCCCCGGGCACCTCCTGGAATCTGCTTTGTCCCTTCCAGCAGTGAGCAAGTACCCAGTGACTCCAAGATCCAGAAGTGTTCGGATGCAGGCCTCTGCTTATCCCTTCAGAATGGGGCTTTCCCAGGGCAAGGCTGTGCATCCATCTGACCTGGGGCACCTCAGATCTAGGAGCAGTGTGCCCTCATCAGATTAGGGCTTCCAAGGGCAGTTTCTGTCCCCTCGATCACTTGGGGGCTCCCCCAGAGCTGAGCCGCAGACCCGGTTACCCTAGCACAGAGTAGGGTCCTGGTCCAGCCTCTACTCACGGGCTCTCTACCCTCTGTCCACCCCAGAAGCTTGCCGGCTTCAGCTGCTCATCATTTGTGTCCGACGGCCCCCCAGAGAGGGCATCCTCACTGCCCCCACAGAGCCCCACCGTCGCATCACCAGGCCCTGAGCAAGTCCACTGCCCAGCTGGCCCGGGCCCGGGCCCCTTCCGGCTCTCACCCTCAGACAAGTACCCCAGCTTCGGCTTTGAGGAGGGCCCAGCAAGCAGCCCCGGACGCTTCCTCAAGGGTGGCCACGGGCCTTTCCATCCATACAAGCGGCATTTCCACGAGGACGTCTTCCCCGAGGCCCAGACCGCCCTGGCCCTCGATGGACACTCCTTTAAGACCCCGGGGGCGCTGGAGGCCTTCGAGGAGATCCCCGTGGATGTGGGGGAGGCTGAGGCCTTCCTGCCTAGCTTCTCAGCAGAGGCCTGGTGCAACGGGCTCCCCTACCCCAGCCAAGAGCACAGCCCCCAAGTCCTGGTGAGTACCAGTGGCCGGTGGGCTTCCCACCGACCCCTAGGGGTCCTAGTGGCCGAAGCCCAGAATGAGTCCTCTGAGATCAAACTCCACCTTCCCTTCCAGACCTCTCCCCTCTGGGACTCAGGGTCAGGCTGTGCCAGGGAAGCAGCAAGCTCAGAAAGTGGGGGTCTCAGCTTCCTTCTGGCCTCCAAGGTCAGCTGGGGAGGGGATGCTGACCTGCCCCGGCTTGGAGGGGCCAAGTTGGGGGAGGCAGGTCAGGCTAAGGAAGCTGGCAGCTTCCCAGCGGCTCCTGAGTCAGGATTCCAGTGTGTGACTTCTCTGTTTGTTTAAAAGTCGAGAATCCCCAGCCAGACCTACCCGCCCATATGCAAATATGAGAAGAAAAACACATTCCAGAGACCAAGAGAAAGGGTTGAAGGAGGAGCCACAGAGCACAAGGTTCCCTCTCCGGCATCAGCGACATCAGGCATCAGCGTACAGTACAGCCGGTGGAGAGAGGGCTTACAGCTTCTCAAAGGACACTTCCAGGCCCTATTCTTTGCCCCGGAGGGGAGGGGGGCTGGGTGTATTCATAGAAATACCTTGAAAGCACCTTGGAAAGTCAGCATGTCATTCCACAGTCATATCCACTAGCTGTGTGATCTTGGGCAAGTCACTTAACCTCTCTGGGCCTCATCGGAAAAGTATGGTTAAGAGGACCTGCCTCATGGGTTTGTTGCCCTGGGGAGAGGAAAGCTAGAGGGAGGTTTGGAGGTCCCTGAGGTAGTGAGCACTGAGCGGGCTCAGCCCGGGTTGTGCCTACTCCAGATGCTCACCAGCTCTCCTCACCTTTTGCTTTCAAACAAGCTCCCATTCCATCCCCAAGCCACCCCCGACAAAGCCTGATTCCCAGACTTGGAAGATAGAGAAGGGGTTGGGTTCCTGCCAGCTGTGGCCAAGACAAGACCCTTGGTTCTGGGGCCCTTTGATGGCTTCTCCTCAGGCCCACTGAACATGACAGCTGCTCATGGTGAGGGCAGCATCATATTAGCTCCTGTCCCCCCAAATCCACACACTGCCAGCCCCTGGGCACTGTGCCCGATGCTTTCTCTCAAGTGCCCCATTTAATCCTCATGACAACCCTCAAAAGACTTCCCACTATCCCCATTTTGCAGCTGAGGAAACCGAGGTTCCACAGACGTCAAGTGACTTTCCCAAGGTGACCCTTGGCCTATAGGAAGGGAGGCTGAGATTTGAGCCCACTCCCTTTACCCCCTGCCCAGTGGAGAGGAGCCGGGGCCCAGAGAGCCACAGCTAGCTGGTCGACTCACTGGGTGACCTCGGACACATCACTTCCCCTTAGTGGGCTCAACCCCATCATCTTCCAAATGAGGAGGTTGGACCTAGTGCTGCTGGCCCTTCCAGGCCTGAGATTCTATGATTATGGCTATCTCTGCATCAGCAACCCCAGGGCACATCCAGAAAGAGCTGACAGTTGATTTGACCCTCTGGGCCCAGATGCTGGTTCCCAAGGCCCCTGGTAAGCCCAGGAAGAGTGGCCTACCTCCTCCCGGCCTTCTTCACCTTCTAGAAACCAGGGGTGCACTCTTTTGGACTCTACTCAGCGTAGAGCTCTGTGCTAGACTCTGGGGGCCCCATGGGGAGCTTACCACCCATGGGAAGCCAGAGCCTGGCTACCACCACTGGCAGCAGCTATAGGGTCCCTGTGCCAGGGTGAAAGAGAGCCGCGGGGCTCAAGCAGACCAGCAAGAGGGCAGACTCCCCGGAGTAGAGAGCAAAGGCCTTTGAGTTGAGGATGGCCAGGAGACAGCGTGGGGAGGACTCATCAGCCCCCTCCAAAGAGCCTCCCGGAGCTCCCCTGGGGGGGAGCTCCTCCGGAGCTTTGCCGAGGTGGAAGGGGCAGGACTTTGGGTCACCAGCTGGGCCCACCTCTCTGGCCACTTCCTGTGCTCCCCTTACTATGGCTCTGCAGTGGGAATTCTAGAGCGGTAGCCTTTTCCAGATGTCCTTCGCAGACCTGCTCCGAGAGGCTGGCAGCTCTGAACGCAAGCAGGCCCCAAGCCAGGCTTGATGCGTGGGATCAGGCACTGTGTCCTCGTGCTATTCCAGAGAGATCTCTGTCCCTACCCCACCTCACTGTGACCGTCGTCAAATCTCCCCTAGTCGCCTGGACAGCTCGGCCTCTGCCTTTCACCTGAAGTGAGGTGCGGGCCAGGGAGTGCTGTCAATTCCAGCCCCAGCTCCACCGCTAACTGGCTGAGTTCCCTCAGGAAACGCCAGACCTTCTCTGTTCTCCATTTGTTCTCCAGGACTAAGCTTTGGGGGAGGCAGAGTAGCGGTTGCTTTTGTGTCAGTTTCAAGCCACGGGAAAACCAAGGCCCTACCTGGTCATCTGTTTTTTGTTCCTTCCAGCAGGGGTCAGAAGTCAAGGTCAAGCCCCCAGCTCTGGAGACTGGTCCTGGGATGTACTGTTACCAGCCCCCCTTGCAGCACATGTACTGTCCCTCCCAGCCCCCCTTCCACCAGGTGGGTCAGCGGCAGGTGGGCATGCTCCCCTGGGGCCCCAGGATATTGTGGTGTGAGATGTGCGGGCGGGGATGTGCATGTGCACGCTTGCATCGCCAGGTCCAGGGCCATCTGGGGTGGGGGGCCAGGGGTCCATGGGGAAGGAAGCAATCGCCCTTCTCTAGGAGTAGGTGGGGTTCATCTGAGAGTCTCAGATGGAGAGTCTCAGGAAAGGGAGCGGGGCTGAGAGCGGGGCAGGGCCCAGATGTGAACAGAAAAGAGGGAGGAGGAGAGCCCGACAAAGACAGGGGCCAAGAGGAAAGGAGTGTGTGGGGTGACACACAAGACTGAGCAGAAAGGGAACAATGGGCTCTCGCCTGGGTCAGCCACTGTCTTGCTACATAGCCCTGGCCCCCAACTTCCCTTTCCCCAAGACAGGGTGGGACCAGGCATGGAGCTGGGGCACCTTGCCACCTGGAAGTCTCCAAGACCCCATCATCTTCGGCCCTTTCCCCTCTCCCCACCCCACGGCCCAGCCTCAGCTCCTCCGACATGGACAGGATGCCAAGTAATTGCCCCACATTGGCATGGCATGCAGGTTTTTAAAGAGAAAGAAAAGAGCCCCAGAGCAGCCAGGCAGCTCCCAGGAGTCACTGGGCAAGACAGAGCAAGTGGCTGCCCAGCGCCCAGCTCCATCCACCTGCAGCCTGGCACTGAGACAGGCCCTGCCTGTGGAGCAGGTTCTACTCCCAGCTCTTTAGCTTTGGCCCTGATCTTGGCCAAGCCAGGGAGGCAGGCACATGGGGGTGGTGGGGGGGGGGAGGAGGTGGTCAGACTGCTTGCTTTGTTGGGGGCAAGAAAGAGATGGAGGGAAGCAGAGGGAGCACATGAGGGGTCATCCTCGCCGCCAGGAGGAGCCCAGCTGGAATGGCTAAAGCCCTCCTGAGGCTCAAGGTCTGACCCAGGGCAGGGGGTGTCCCTGAGGCAGTCTGGCCCCTCAGGGACGGAGCCACAGCAGGGTTAAGGGGCTGCCAGACCTTACATGGCCTCACCATGCCCAGCCCTGCTTTGATGCTTTCTGCATTCCGCACACCACCCCCCCACCCCGAACAAGATGGCCGCACCCAGGGCTTTATAGAGCCTGCAGAGAGGGTGACTCAGGCACTAAGTGTCTCTCGGGTGACCTGGAAAGAGCACCTCAGCCTGGAGCAGATGGGGGAGTCAGAGTCTCCTACCCCCTTTGCCCCCATAAAACACCACCCCTGGCACCACAGCCACTCCCTGTGCCGTAAAACCACCTCCTACCCCCACCTGCCCACCACCGTGACCGGCCCTTTCAAAGAGCCACTGAAACTCGTAAAAGGTGGCAGTGCCCAGCAAACGAAGGCCCGGGCTGGACACCCCACTTCCGACCCAGCTGCTGCAGGAAATGTAGGGGGGCCTGGAGGGCCTTACACTCTCTAGCCCAGCCAGGCCGCTTCCCCATCACCATGCAACGGGCCTGAGAGGAAGGAACTGGAGGAAAGGAGCTTTGAGGCCTCTGAGATCCCAGATTTGGGAATGGGGAGCTCCTCAGAGGCCCTCAGATGTCCACGCCCGTGGCCAGCCCCCTCAGATGGCTCTGCTCTTGGAGCCCATAACCAGGGAGAGAAGAATCTAGCCTCAGCTCTCTCTCTGGATGTATATGAATGGGGTGTGGGAGGGGGATTACCCCACCTTGGGAAGGACTGGTTACCATGGCAACCACTCTGCCCCTTTGACCTCTACAGTACTCACCAGGTGGTGGCAGCTACCCCTTACCGTACCTGGGCTCCTCACACTATCCATACCAGCGGATCGCGCCCCAGGCCAGCACAGATGGGCACCAGCCTCTCTTCCCAAAACCCATCTACTCCTACAGGTATGTTCCCAGCACCCCCCTGGGGTGGAAGGAAGAGGGCTGAGAGGACCAGTGGGGAAACTGAGGCATGGAATCCTCAAGGTATAAGGGGATGGCAGAGGATGGAAGTCATACTCAGCAGGCTTCGAGACGATGCTGGAGAGGACAGTCCTGCACGGAGGCAGGCGGACAGACTAGATCACCTCTGACCTCTTGTCTAACCCTGTGGAGCTATGTCAGTGGTTCTACTCAGCCAAGGCTGGTGCCCCGAGATCGGGCCCCCTAAATTCTAGCCTCATGGGGCCCGGGGCCTGGGCCTGAGAGTTTAGGAGGGATGCTCGCCCCCTTCCCCCTCCTTTTCCCCTAGATAGAGAGAGAAGCCGAACCCCAAATCTCTCTGGGAGATAAGTGAGAGATGAGGCCTACAGACTCAGCTCAGGTATCCAGCGCCTGCAGGATCGGGGCTGGGGTCGTAAATGCCAAAGCCCGCAACACCCAGCCAGTCTAGGAGACCTTCCCCCTGAACTTTCATGCCTCCCATCAACAGTGACACTTGACCTCCTGTGTGCCAGGCCCCAAGTGGGATCAGATCATCAGCCAGTGTGAACTCAGGGAAGGAAAAGGAACTCAAAGAGCATCCAGGAGCACAGAGAAGGGGTTTGTGGGAGGCAGGATGATGCACAGAAAGGAGAATACCCCATCCTTGGAGTCCAACAGAGCTCGGTTCAAGTCCAGGCTCTCGAATTTACTAGCTGTGAAACCTCCGGCAAGTTACTCAATCTCTCTGAGCCTCTGTTTATTCATCTGCTTTAAGAAAAAAAAAAAAAAAAGGAACAGCAATATTCAGGCCTTTGGAAAGATTAAGTGAGAGAATATGCTTGGCACATTGTAGGGGCTCAAGAAACCATAGTTCCCTCCCTGACTATCCAACCTTTAGTGTGCAGTTGGCTGAGGGTGCCTGGTCATGCACCCTTAATCCTCACAACGCTGAGGTAACTATTACTTTTCTTACTTCAAAGCTGAGGAAACAGGTTCAGAGAGGTTGAGGCACTCAGCCAAGGTCACACAACCAGTGAGTGGCCAAGCCAGGATTACAACCCAGGTCTCTTACACTCCGCAAGACCCTTGTAGGTCAGTAACTCCCAGCTTCAGTGGACACCTTCTCGTCCTTTCTCCTTTCCACCCCATGGAGCCTCTCACCTAAATCTGCAGCAGGTTATTCCTCTCAACTACTCCAGCCAGGGCAGGCGGGGTGGTCAGGGGCAGACTCCCTGCCTGCTCAGAAGTTCAAACTCTCAAGGTTTTCTCTGCCTTCAGCATCCTCATCTTCATGGCCCTTAAGAACAGTAAAACGGGGAGCCTTCCTGTCAGCGAGATCTACAATTTCATGACGGAGCACTTTCCCTACTTCAAGGTGAGCCCGGGATCCACCCCAATCCTCCCATCCCTGAGTGCTGGGCGAACCAGGCCTCTCTGGAGCCAGAGAGTTCTCTCTTGAGAGTTCTGTGTCAGGAACAGAGAGCTCAAGCCATTCACCCAAGGTTACACAGCAGGCTGGAATCCGATCTCATGCTGGTGGAAAGCGGACCTGTCAGTCCTGATAGGCTTCAAGAAGCATCCACCTAACCCGAGTGGGGAGAGAGAGCTTGGGAAGAAATGAGAGACTGTCCCCACCCTTGCCCCCAGGATGCTGTAGGGTTAGAGGAATCTGAGTAAGAGCAATAGCCAGCCAGGGTGGCATGGGACGCTGGGACCACAGGACCCATTGCCTTCCAGGGAGAGATTAAGATCTGCCTCTGTGGGTGGCAGGCTCAGCTGCAGCACTGTCAGAAAACGGGGTGTGGGCTTCATGGTCTTCAAGTGTCCCAGGGAACTGGGTGGCTCACCTGGCCTTCCCATGTACAGTAGCTAGTTCCTGTCATCCACGGAAGGGGCTTCTACCAGATTCCCTCCCTAGAGGCGGGACAGATACCTTTCTGTCCAGATGGGCAAACACATCAGAAAGGGTGATCCACCTGCTCAAGGTCACACAACAGGGGGATCGGTTGGTGGCTCAAGCTGTTTGGCTTCACACATCACCCACTTCCCTTCTCGGCATGCCCTCCGCCCCATACCTTCCAGCACAGACCTCTTTTTCTGGGGTGGGTGCAGGGGAGATCAGAGCTTGTGTGTGAGGAGTGCCTTCTCCGAGGTCTACACCCTGGTGGATATAATCTCATCCGAGAACCAGGCCGAAGATGGGAGCTGAGGCCCAGGTCCAGAACTTAGCTCCACCGGCCAGTAGGTGATCTCTGGCCCCACTATCTTCCCAATTGTCCCGCCTGAGGATAATCTGAAGCTGATATTCAAACAAGTTTGTACTTGCTGCATTGCGATCAAATGAGGAGTGGGCAAGATGGCCAGAGTGGTCTGGCCGGGAATGGGGCAGTATGGTCATCCACCAGAGATTCTGGAAGGGGGGGTGAGTTGTCTCTGGGATTTGAGAAGCATCAGAGCCAGTATCCAGAGCTGCCCGGATATCCCAACAGATCTGGAGACGAAATGCTCCCTAACTGCTAAAGCTTTTGGAGGGTCCTCTATAGGGCTTCAAGGGGCCAGGCCAGAGACAGGGAAGTGAGGGCCTGCCCTGTTCCTCGCAGCCATTCCTCCCTGCCAACTCCCCGCCTGGCCCCCAGCCCCTCCCTGCATCTCATCTTCCTGGCTTAATTATTTTTCCTGGGAGCTGTGTAATCCCTGTTTTATGGGGCTGAAGAGTGAAGAGGTCTAACAACTTTTTTTTTTTTTTTTTTTTTTTTTTTTTGGTTCTAGTTGTTGTTCTTAGCCGGTTGCATCATTCTCTCACTCCTGAGTTTACATTTGACTTCAGAGAGAAAGCATCTGTGAGGATGGGACGGGCCCCAGTGGTGAAGCCAGCCCTATAGGGTGACCTGGGCAGGGCCCTTAATAAGGGGACAGATCTGGAGTCTGGGCTCTGTCACTGCCTTCTGTGTGATCTAGGGCCAGGCAGTTTCTTCCCTGGACCTCAGTTTCCCAATCTGTAAAATGGTCAGGTTGGACCAGCTGGCACATCCATTCCTTCCAACTCTGACGGTTCCCCTCTGACCTACCTAAGGAATTAGTTCAAAGATCCCCTGCCCCCTTTATCGCTCACTCTCCATTTGAAGGTCGTTTTCCCGGGCAAGAACAGAGGGACCCCGGGGTGGGTAGCATTCATGTCCCAGGCAGCTGAGGTGGGCGTCCTGTAGCCCCATGAGTCAGGGCTATGGGACTGGGGAAGTGTCCAGCCACTGGACATAATTGCTAGTGCCGACCGTCCCTCTTCCAAACAGGAAGTGGCTGGGGTGGGGGCTGTGCTGGCATCCCAAAGTCACAGATTTATGGGCCCATAAAAGGGCCCAGTGCACATTAACTCTGCCCATCAGGCGACACAGCCTTGACTCCTAGTAGGGACTGTCGTGGGAGTTGAAGGTGAATCCCAAGCTGACTGGTCTGGTGGCTCAAGCATCCTTCCTCCTGAGCCCCGGGAGCCTTGGGGGGTCATGTCAACCAGCCCCCTGCCCCAGGCCAGCTGCCCCTGAGAAAGTCTCCGGCAGCTCCTGCCGGCAGCTCTCAGTGACCGAGCGTCAGGACCCAGTTCTGCCGGGCGTGAATCAGCCTGACTGCTCCCTGGGGCAAGAGAGCTGGGGAGGAGGGCGTGGCCCCCCGCATTCTGCTGAAACTGCCAGCTGAAAGGGAAAAGGGACCAGGGGGCTGAGGGTATGGGGGCCCCCCTGGCTGGAGCAGATGCTCTGCTCACCGTTGGCCCCCACTGGGCCTGGGACTGGCACAGAGGCGGGAACAGAGCTGGAGGTCGGCGGGGGTTCCGGAATGGGGGGGTATCCACTGGCACCCCCGCCACCGCCTCTCACCCCACTGAGTCAGCCTAATGGTTTTTACAACCCTCCCTGGGCACAATTACTGCACTGGTGGCATGACCAGGCCTCCTAATGGGTGTTTATTCTGTTGGCACGAGCCCCCCCACTCCCCACCTGAGGGCTGGCCTTCCCAGTGGGGCACGCCTCCCCCCGGGCACACTCATGTGAACACTCACACCCCCACACACATACAGTCATGGATACCCCCACACACCCAGAGAGACTTTCTCACACACACACATCCTCACACTCAAAGGAATTCACAGACCCACACCCCGGACACGGGCTCGCACCAGGGAGGCGTACTTAGGGACACAAACACACACATATGCACAGCCAGTGCCCCCCCCCACACACACACCTCGCACTCTCACCAAAACCCAGCTATGCACACGACATATGTGCAACAGGGGCACACACCCAAATAAAACCTCACCCATCTTTCTTTTCTCCCGAGTTTGCCCAAGCAGGGGTGAGGCAGCCCCAGGAAAGGAGCACCCCATAGTTCCCTCCTCATTCCAAAGCTGGCATCGGGGAGACCTGGGAGTAGCGAGTTCGCTTTCCCCAGAGGGGTCCGAGCACAGGCCCCAAGACCCAGGGGGAGTGGTCCAGCTCCAGACAGGGACGGGCCCTCCCTCTATGAACCACCCCCACAATCCTCGGAAGGGTTGGAGGAGGTGGGGCTGGGATGAAGGGGCCAAGGTTCCCGCCCACCCCTGCCCCACCACTGAAGGGTACTGAGCACGGGCTGGGTGCTGAGGAGGATGACAAGCCCTGGAATGGGTGGCAGTTCGGCACCCAGAGGACAGAGAAGCCTCCCCAGGCTCCTTGACCCTGGCTTGAATTTTTGTCCTGCTCTGCTCCGGCAGACGGCACCTGACGGCTGGAAGAATTCTGTTCGCCACAACCTTTCTCTCAACAAGTGCTTTGAGAAGGTGGAGAACAAATCTGGAAGCTCCTCTCGAAAGGGCTGCCTGTGGGCCCTCAATCCGGCCAAAATCGACAAGATGCAGGAGGAGCTGCAGAAGTGGAAGAGGAAAGACCCGATTGCTGTGCGCAAGAGCATGGCCAAGCCAGGTGAGGGGCTGCAGGGCAATGCAAGGGAGGACTCAGTGTGCCTAGGAGCTGGGGGGGTGGGGGGGAGGAGGAGGGGGGGGAAGGGGGGGAGAGGGAGAGATCAAAGAGAACTTACTAGTGAGAGAAGGCCTGAGTGGTTCCACGGCTGGGGAGGGCTTGTGGAGGAAAGGGAGGTCTCATGGTGTCCCTCTCTCTTCTCTCTTGGGCCTTTGCAGAAGAGCTGGACAGCCTCATTGGAGAGAAGAGGGAGAAGCTGGGCTCCCCACTGCTGGGCTGCCCACCCCCCGGGCTGACCAGCTCAGGCCCCATCCGCCCCCTGGCCCCTCCAGTTGGGCTCTCCCAGCCACTGCACTCAATCCACCCAGCTCCGGGCCCCATTCCCGGCAAGAACCCCCTGCAGGACCTACTTGGGGGGCATGTGCCCTCCTGCTATGGGCAGACATATTCGCACCTCTCCCCGGGCCCGGCCCCTCCCGGACCCCCACAGCCATTGTTCCCGCAGCCGGATGGGCACCTTGAGCTGCGGGCCCAGCCAGGCACCCCCCAGGACTCGCCTCTGCCTGCCAACACCCCACCCAGCCACAGCGCCAAGCTACTGGCTGAGCCTTCCCCGGCCAGGACCATGCATGACACCTTGCTGCCAGACGGAGACCTTGGCACCGACCTGGACGCCATCAACCCCTCTCTCACCGACTTCGACTTCCAGGGTAAGTCGAAGCTGTGGGTGGGAAAGGAAAGGTGGGACAAGACCAGAGAGGGGCGCCTGGCGGTGTGGCCCATCCGCTCCAAGCTGCCAGGTTTCTGGTCTGTTGAAGCAGAGAAGTCCCAGGCCCGCCAGGGGTGCCAAGGGGCGAAGAGGAATGTCCTTGCCCCCATCTCCCTCCTCCTGTGCCCTTGAACATGTTCCAGTGGACCACATCACCAAACCACTCCCAGTTCCGAGTAGCTGGGAAAGAGCCCAGTGTTCCGCTCCATCGTGGCTGTGAGCACCTGCCAGTCTGAACATTCCCGAAGGTGGTTGCATTTTCTCATTCATCTCAGAGGCTCAGAATGTAAGGCCTCAGAACTAGGCAGGTCCTGCCGAGATTTGGCGGTAGGAGTCTGGAAAGAGGTTCTATCTATTCCATTCCATCTTGCCTGTCCCATCTCTGCACACGGCAGAGCCCACCCATTCAGATCTAAACCCCAGTGCATGCCCAGACCCTGGTCCTGGCCCAGGAGGCTTGGAGGAGGGGGCTGACCCAGGCCTCAGACCCTCTGGATGCACTGGGGGAGTAGGGGGAGGGACATCCACAGGCAGGTGGAGACAGCTGACCCTCACCGAGCTCCCGGTCCTGTGGGGACACAGCCCAGGTCTTGGTAAGCTTGTTAGAAACGCGCAGCTAGATCCTCAGCTGCAGCCAGAAGTGGGGAGCGACACTCACCACAAACCATCAGCTTCACGTGTGCTCTCTCATCTGGGCCTCTAGGACCAGAGGAGAGGTTATTAAACCCCCTTCACAAAAGCACATGGAGGTTAAGTAACTTATTCAAGGTTACTTGGCTAGAAAGAAGGAGAGTAAGAACTGGAACCCAAGCAGCCGAGTTCAGTCCAGGGTCTTGGCTGATCCAGCCCCTTTCCTCCATCCCTTCAGCCCTGATACCCAGGGCAGGAGCGCCAGGCCCTGGTCGGCCATGATGCAGGTCCCACAGCACAAAGAGGAGGATGCGGTGGCAGCACTGACACCTCCGTGGAGTCAGTGCTCCAGGCTCTGCTCCTCTCCCTTGGGCCTGCAGTGAAGGACCGCATGGGCTCCGGCAGTGCATTGTTAGAAGATCCTTGGTCTTGGCTGCCGATCCGCCTTCCTTGGGAGCCTGGCAGGAGCCGGGGGAAGAGTTCCAGGGGCTCCCTCTGCAGGCTAAGTCCAGAGTGCACAGCATAGGCATCAGTCCTTCCAATAGGCCTTGACTACCCCACCTCCCTCCAAAATAAGAGCCCCAGAGATCATCTAAGCTATGGCAGAGGAATCGGAGAGTTCCAGCAACTCCTGGCAGAGGAATCGGAGAGTTCCAGCAACTCCCTGCTGCCAACTGTCTGTTCCCCAGTCAAGGTTACCCCAATCCTGCTCTCTTTAGCATGTGAGAGCCATGGGTGGGGTACACAGGACTCCTTGGTACCTCCCAGTGACGCCTGTTCTCTCCCCCAACTAGGAAACCTGTGGGAACAGCTGAAGGATGACAGCTTGGCCCTTGACCCCTTGGTACTGGTGACCTCGTCCCCGACATCATCTTCAATGCCGCCACCTCCACCACCACCCCATTGCTTCCCGCCGGGGTCCTGTCTGGCAGAGACGGGCAGTGGGGCCGGCGACTTGGCACCACCAGGCAGTGGGGGCTCCGGGGCATTGGGTGACCTGCACCTCACCACCCTCTACTCGGCCTTCATGGAGCTGGAGCCCACACCCCCCACAGCCCCTGCTGGCCCCTCTGTGTACCTCAGCCCCAGCTCCAAGCCCATGGCCCTAGCATGAGCCATGCCCAGCAACAGCTTTGGCCTCTTTCTGGCCTGGAAGTCCCAGCTGGCCGCCCACATCGGGCCCACCTTAAAGGTCAAGGAAGGAAAACCATCCCTGTCCCCTATGCCACTAAGCCAACTGTTTGTTAGCTGGCAGCTTGGGGGTGAAGAAGACACCACCCACGATGCCGCCCCTCACACATTTCTGCCACCCGGTGAGCCAGCTCCTCACTCAGGGTCCCTGAAGACCAAGTGTCCGGGCAAGGAAAAAACACACCCTTCCTAGCTCACACTCATCCACACTTACACCCTTCTGCATAATATGTGCATGGATACACACACACACACACACACACACACACACACACACAGAGTCAATCAGACCTACACCCACCCACATACCTTCTATGCAGAAGAATCAGAACTACGTCACTGAGAGCCTGACTCCATTTCTGAGGCAGCTGAGAGCTGAGGGCTCAGGTCCTCATGCCAGGTCCAAGACCACCCTGAAACCCTATTCTGATGTCCGCATTCTCTGCAGGCCTGGCCCCTTCTAGCATGTTCTCTCCCGGAAGCCCCCTGTATTTATTCTCCCATCTTCATCCCAGCAGCCGGTCAAGGAAGAGGCAGTGTAGAGCCTCTCCCCAAGTTGTCTGTGGGTCCCCCAGGGGGCTGCTATTAGCAGCACCCACTCGGCCAGGCTCTGCCCATCCTCAGTATATGCTCTGTCTGACCCCCCGCCCCAGAATGACACCCAGGAGGGGTAACGGCCACCCCAGGACCAAACTGAGCCCAATTCGGACACAAAGTGTTTGGAAAAGCCCTTGCCCTCAGAAACTTAAAAGTGTCCTCTTCCCAGCCCTGGGCATAGGAAGGACCCCTCCAGGGCACTACAGTCTCTGCCCTTCTCTATAAGAACTTCATGTAGTGTAGGTCCCAACTTACTAATGACTTCCACCTGTCCCAGGCAGCGTGGGCATTCAGGGGAGGGGAGCCTGACAGAGGCTGGTGGGTGCGGGGGGGGAGTGGCAGCCGATGCCCCCTCTCTCTTTGACTGCTTGGCAGACCCACGGTGTCTCCCAGAGCTGGGGGTGTGCTGGTTGCCTGCCATGCCCTACGGGAGAGCCCAACCTGCACCAAGTGAAAGCTGCAGCCTACCCTGCCCCTGGGGGTGACAAGAGCCCCCAGAGGTTAGCCTGGGCTTGGTTAGGCACAAGCAGATCCCTAGCTGGCCTGCCGTTGTCCCCTGACCTGGAACAATAAAGCAAGTGCCTGTGGTCTTGGCTCCTGAGGCTTCATTTCCGGATTTCCCCTCCCTGAGCAGAAAGGCCAGGCCACACTAACTGTAGATACCCCGGTCTGTGATGTCACCCCGACCCTCATTCTGTACTGTGAAGTTTCCGTCTAGGAGGACGTCCTGACCGGCTTGGGGAGGATGAGAGGGCAGGTAGGCGGGGCCTCTTCCCTGGAGACTTTCCAAAGGCATCCGAGGAAGCAGCTGTCCAGCCCCTAAGAAGGAAGAAGACTCCCTCCCCCCACGCCCCTTCTTACTGAGATTCACCACTTTCCTCCTCAAGCCCCCTCAGCTCTTCACACAAGAAGGGGTCACTTTCCTGTCCAGCTGTGCCTTCCTGTCCCCCATCTTTCCCTGGCTGGGGCTATGGGTTCCACGGGTGACGTGACTAGAGCGTAGCCCGGTGCTGTGGGCACTGCTGGCCCTGGAAGGTGGTCTCTGGAGTGTCAGGGGCCCACTCGGCTGAACTTCAGCCTCCCCTCCCAGGTACCCCCTCCAGACAGACTGCTGTCACCAAAGGACAGACTAAGAGGGAGCCCTACACTCTGCCTGAACAGGGAGGGGGTACGTGTGGGAGACAAAAGCACACACGAACTTCAAGACTCAGAGCAGCCCCAGGTGGGGACTCTGCTTCGAAAGTTCTTCCAGGGGACCGGGCCTGGAAGCAGGTCAACACCACCTGCCTACCCCCTAGGACGACACCGTAGAAGATACCATAATAGGGCCCCACCCTACAGCTGCACTCCCCCTAAGAGCCTGTGTCCAGGACTAGAGGGATAGGGCAGGGTGGGGAGTGGAGGGAGACATGGCCAGCCGGCGCACACGAGAGGAAGCCCCACCCGCCCCAGCCCAGCCCTGACTATGAAGGAAAAGACGGGGAGGCTCTCTGTTAAGCCCCCTACTCTGCACCTCCAGCTTAGGTGGTAAGCAGAGATCTCCTCCAGAGTAAGCCCTCTGTCCCATGTGCCCATTTAGCGCACCTACAAGTGAGCTGGCATCCACACAAGTAAGGCAGGTGACAAACAGAATTTGGGGTTTCAGGTTTGTTTTTGTTTGTAACCAGACTAGCCCTTAAACTTAAGAGGCTGCCGCGGCTCTCGGAGCTGAGTCCCGCACTCCCATTCATATGCTGCCCCCTGCTGGCCGCCTCGCAGCAAATGTTCACCGTTGGAGGGTGAGCTGAATGGATGCAGGGTCTGGAAGTGCCCGGTTCTGGGGAAGTTAACCTGTTTGGGGGGGCGGGGGGATGGCTCTAAACCTAAGGGTTCTAAAACTGGTTAGTTCATGGGGTTCATTCAATTGGATGAACAGGGACGCCTGGGTGGCTCAGTCGGTTAAGCAGCTGTGAGATCAAGGCCCACATCAGGCTCTGCGCTCAGCACGGGTCCACTTGAGATTCTCTCTCCCTCTCCCTCTGCCCCTCCCCTCCACTCGCTGATGCTCTCTCTCTCAGATAAATAGATAAATAAAATCTTTTTAAAAAGTTGGATGAAGAAATCATACCTTCATTTTCACTCATCTCGACCTCCAAGTTAGCATTTCCCTCCATTATGAATGTCAGCCACAAATCACAATGGCTTTAGTAGAATCTGTGACTTTGTCATAAGGTAGAGAAATCACAGATTAGGAATCACAGATGTTTTCATATTACATTACAGGTGTCCCAGGACGGATCTATAGATTCCTATTATATAGTTTTCAATACCTAAAATATTTAGGATTTCCATACATTTTATATTCATAAAAACCCTTATTGTCTCTAGGTTTCAGCAGACGATAACAATGGGGTCCATGATACACAAAAAAGTAAAGCACCCTTTCTTTAGTTGCAGGGTGGTGAGGGATGGAGGGTGGCTCTTAACGGGAGGGCCCAGGGTAGGGAGGAATGTGCTGGGGGCTTCAGATAGCAACTCTTTACCATCAGAAGGGAAGCATCTCAATATTTTACAATGGGTTTGGCAGCCCCAACGTGTACCATACAGACCAGCCTAGGTAGGCATGAATGGTGGGTCTCTTGGGCTTTCTTGTTCAACCCAGTGGTGGGGTCCTCATGAGGTTCCTGAAGAGTCAAAGCAAAGAAATCTGGCCCACTTCAGAGAAATGAAACCTGAGACCCAGATCTGGCAAGGCCCACATGGAACTTCAAGGTCAACAGCTCATCCTCATCAGAGCCAGGACTAGACCCACCCTTACCCTGTCTTCTCCCTCCTTCTACTGCCCAGGAACCCTCCAGCTTCCTAGAGAAAGTGCCAGGAACCAAAGCCAGCAAGGTGCATCTTTGGCAGCAGGACCAGTGCCAGTGACATGAAGACTTACAAGGAGCCAGGGGGCCAAGGCTTTCCCCAGCCGAACTCCTCCTCCAGGCCCAAGGGCCATAGGACTCTCGGCGTGAGTGCCAACCCGGTACCTGCTCCAGGGATTCGGACCTCAGCCCCATCCAGAACCTCAACCCAGTTCGACTTAGCAGGCACCATGAAGACTGTTATCAGGGTGGTGGGGGAGCATCTCTTCCTGACAGCTGGAGGCCTAAAAGTCCCTCTTGCTTGCAACATTTTCTCTGTAGACTTGTAATCCCATAAGCAACACCTCCAACTCCAAATACTCTGTAAACCTATACAGCTTCATCTGCAAACCAACCCCCAACCTCACCCCGTGCCCCTTCCTCACTTTTGCGACAACGGACAACTCCTGACCACTTGCTTCTTGGTGAAATTCCTTCTTCCCTTAGCTTCTAATACACCCTACTACAAGATAGGCTTCTACTCCCACCTCTCCGGCTGCTCTTCCTGTCTCCATCACGGGTTCCTCTCCCTTTGCCCTGCTTTCACTCTCTAGCCTTGCCTAGGGTTACATACTCCCATTCAGTGACCCTGAGTTGGAAGGGGTGGACTATTTGCACGGAGCGCCCTGTTAATTTGAGAGCACTCAGCATTCCTGCCCCCTGCTCACTAAACACCAGTAGCTGGGCACCCCATAACTTGGCCACCATCACAGCTTCAGCAACTGTCTTGTGGCCACCGACCTCCAAGGATCACCGTCTCCAGCCTTCATCCGCCTCCTGGTCTCAGGGCCTGAATTTCCTGTCTATTCCTGGTCACCTCCTTCAGGACATCTGTACCCACACCCCCAGCATGTCCCAACTTGAACTCATCACCTCCCCCAGCCCCCACCCTGATCCAACTTGGGTTCCCAAGCCCTGTGACAGCACCTCTCCCCACCGCGACATTCAGGCTGTGGACCAGGCTTCAGCCTCGACTCCTCCCTGGCTCCAGCCATCTCATCCAATCAGCCGCCAGTTCTGGAAATCTCCCCTCTTAATAATCTCCACTTTGTCTCTTTCTCGCCATCTCCGTGGATATTGACCGAGTTCAGGTTCCCTTTGGTGGGAAACCCACTTCAGCCCGAACTCCTGCACCACCCTCTGGAGGGCCCCTCTGCCCGCAGGGTGGGGGTGTCTGTGACCTGGAGCCAGACTGTGGGGTTAGACCCCTGACACTGCCACTTAATAGCCGTGCAATGTTCACCCCTCCCGTCCTGCACTTCTTGTGAAATGGGCATAATAACGTGCCTGCCTCAGAAGGGATGGCGAACGTTCTAAGTTTACACCTAGCCCCGGGCCTGGCACTCAGTGTGCGTTGGCTGTCAGTCTCACTCCCTCAAATCCAGCCTTTGTTCAGCAGCCAGAGATAATCTGACCAGGTCATTCCCGATTAACGCTCCCC